AAAAAATCGCCTTTAAAGTTGTCCAAATGAAGTTCTTAGCAATGCATATTACTAATCACAAATTACGTTTTGATATATTTACGGTAGGAAATTTACAAAATATCTTAATGGAACATGATCTTTACTTGATATCCTAATGATTTTTGCCATAAAAGAAAAATCTATAATTTTGACCCATACAATGTATTGTTGGCTATTGCTACAAATATACCCCAGCGACTTAAGACTGCTTTTGTGCTGCAGGGTCACATATTAGCAGCATAACTGGTGTGAGAGTTTTGCACGCAAATGCACTCATTGGCTAATCTTGCAGTCTTGACTAGTGCTTTTGTTCCTCTTGTGCATAAATGTAAAGTTGAAATCTTGCGTGTGCAGAGTTTCCAGAGCCATATGAACGGACTGACGCACCAGCAGAAGATGATGGAGATCCAGCACATGAGCAACGCGTGTCTCGTCACGCTGCTGCCGCGAGTCCAGGAGTCCCTGCAAGGAGCTCGCAGAGACGGGTCAGAGTTTCTGAGGCATTTATGCTTCACTAGCTTAAGGGAATCAGGCCATCCGAGTTTGTTTCTTCGTCAGATTTGGAGAAATGTAGCATTGCATCACTTGCTCACTGCAAGTGAATGGGTGCCGTCAGAACTAGAGCTGATAAAAACATCACAATAATCCACAGCACTCCAGTCCATCAGTTAACATCTGGAGAAGACAAAAGCTGAAACAAATCCAGTATGAAGACGTTTTTAACTCGTATACGAGTCTATAATCCATAATAACGTGAGAAAGTGTTCTGGTCTGAATCAGGAGAGAAATCTGCACAGATCAAGCAGCCTTTAAACAGCTCTAAACAAATATGTGAGAGACAACAGCAGATGCACTTTATCACTTCTGGAAGCGTTATTATGGATTATGGACTCATATTTTAGACATTAAAAATGTCTTAATGCTGGATTTGTTTCAGCTTTTGTCTTCTCCAGATGTTAACTGATGGAATGGATGGGTGTTGATTATTGTGATGTTATTATCAGCTGTTTGGACTCTCATTCTGACGGCACCCATTCACTGCAGAGCATCCATTGCTGTAAATGAATAAAATGCAAAGTGTGCAGGCATCACATTGGTTAATTTGCAAAAAACACTAGAAATCTATCAAGTCATATGATTTGATGTTTTAACAAACTGAAATTGAATTAATTATGCATTAAGTGCATGAAAATGCATTGCACAATTGAATGCATAACATCAAATTTGAATATGCATACAGAGTCATACAGATTAATTAATAGATTGATTCCCAAAAAAACACAGTACAATATTTCAAGCTATTATAATCTATCCTTTAAGACTAGAATGATTGTTTTTGAAAGTCTGTGATTTGTGTTTTGCTGTGAACAGCAGATGAAGCGTCCGCTGCAGTCGATCCGGGATGTCAGGAGTCTTCAGAGCAGCCCGATGAACCAGCGGCCAAAAAACACAAAACACAAGAGTCAGTGACTTTCCATTTGTCTGTCTATGTCAGATTGATCTGTATGCTGCGAGTGTGTTTAAATGCGGTTTGTGTGTTTGTGCAGGTCAGAAGAGCCTGTGGAGACAGAATCAGCTCAAAGCGATGAATATAAGAGCCCGGATCCTGCAGGTAGGGAGGGTTTGAGGGAATATTCTCGGGGTTTTACTAAATAATTTGTCCCTCACTTTGTAAAAAAATTTTTAAAATGCAGTAATGCCATTACAATGGAGGAAGATTAAAACTGGAGGCTTTAAAAGCAGAAATGTAAAGCTGGTGTTTCTTTGTTAAGGCACATCAATTTTAACACTAATTCTTCAGTAAAAATGTTATTTGACCTGAAAAATGGTCCTTAGCAGGTATGACAGCGTTGTTTTAGTATTTTTTATTTTTTTTTATATATATATATTTTACATTTTCATGTTAAAGTTATTTTATTATATTTATTTTATTTTATTTCAAGTAACGGAAATGTTTTTCTTATGGTTTTTAACTATAATATAATATATAAATATACATATATAATATATATAAAATGTAACATTTTAATTTAGCCTGCATTTGATCAGAAATACAGAAAAAGCAGTAATATTGTGAAATATTTTTACTATTTAAAATAACTGTTTTCTGTGTGAATATATATTAAACTGTAATGTATTTCTGTGATCAAAGCTGTATTTTCACATCATTACTCCAGTCTTCAGTGTCACATGATCTTCAGAAATCATTCCAATATGCTGATTTGCTGCTCAAGAAACATTTCTGATTATTATTAATGTTGAAAACAGCTGAGTAGAATTTTTTCAGGTTTCTTTGATGAATAGAAAGTTCAGAAGAGCAGCATTTATCTGAAATAGAAATCTTTTGTAACATTATAAATGTCTTTATCATCACTTTTGATCAATTTAAAGCATCCTTGCTAAATAAAACTATTAATTTCTATATTTTTTTCCACAAAAAATGACACTGACTCGAAGTTTTTAAATTTATTTCTGATAAATGCTGATCTTTGGATCTTTCTATTCATCAAAGAATCCTGAAAAAAATTTACTCAACTGTTTTAAATATTAATAATAATAATCAGAAATGTTTCTTGCATATTAGCATGATTTCTGAAGATCATGTGACACTGAAGACTGGAGTAATGATGCTGAAAATACAGCTGCACATCACAGGAATAAATTAGTTTAACAGAGATTCACATAGAAAACAGCTGTTTTAAATAGTAAAAATATTTCACAATTTTACTGCTTTTTTTGTATTTTGGTGAGCAGAAGAGAATTCTCTAAAAAACATTAAAAATCTTACTGTTCAAAAACTTTTGACTGGTAGAGTGTATGTATATATATATATATAACTGTGTAATAATATCATGCTCTGATTGGCTGTGATCGTCGGCCCGTCTCTGGAAACCATGTTTTGCTTTGAGGTGTAAATGCTTTTCTAGATGGATGAGCGTGTGGTTGTGTGTGATTAATGAGAGTGGACTCACTCCTGTGTTTCAGAGCTCACTCTGCAGGAGGACGAACCGCTGGCCGCTGAAGCAGACGAACCGAGTCAAGCGGCCGAGGTTTGTGCCATCTGTATGATCCACATGATCAGAGACATGGGTGAAGTAATCCCAGGACGGACTCGAGCTGTGTCTACTCAAGAAGCACTTGAGTTCAAATGCGTCTTGTTTGTTGATCTTCAGCAGGTTGAAAGCACTGAAGCTCCAGATGAAGGCATCAGAGAGGGTCCAGACGCCGCCGCCGCAGGCTCTGATTCGGCCTCGGAGATCAAGGAGACCGCAGACACTCCTGAGGAGCTCGGAGACGCAGCGGCAGAGACCTCCAACAAGTTCTTCTGCTATATTTGCAACATCACTTGCCATAACCAGCAAGTGTGTTCCTCTGAAATTGCTCGGCTTTAATTGTTTGCATGAGCTGATATATGTGACCCTGGAGCACAAAACCAGTCATAAGGGTCAATTTTTTGGCCACATCATCTGAAAGCTGAATAAATATCTTTCCATTGATGTATGGTTTGTTAGGATAGGACAATATTTGGCTGAGATACAACTATTTGAAAATCTGGAATCTGAGGGTGCAAACAAATCTAAATATTGAGAAAATCATCTTTAAAGTTGTTCAAATGAAGTTCTTAGCAATGCATATTACTAATCAAAAATTAAGTTTTGATATATTTACGGTAGGAAATTTACAAAATATCTTAATGGAACATGATCTTTACTTGATATTTTTGCCATTTTTGCCATAAAAGAAAAATCTATAATTTTGACCCATACAATGTATTGTTGGCTATTGCACCCCAGCGAACATATTAGCAGCATAACTGGTGTGAGAGTTTTGCACGCAAATGCACTCATTGGCTAATCTTGCAGTCTTGACTAGTGCTTTTGTTCCTCTTGTGCATAAATGTAAAGTTGAAATCTTGCGTGTGCAGAGTTTCCAGAGCCATATGAACGGACTGACGCACCAGCAGAAGATGATGGAGATCCAGCACATGAGCAACGCGTGTCTCGTCACGCTGCTGCCGCGAGTCCAGGAGTCCCTGCAAGGAGCTCGCAGAGACGGGTCAGAGTTTCTGAGGCATTTATGCTTCACTAGCTTAAGGGAATCAGGCCATCCGAGTTTGTTTCTTCGTCAGATTTGGAGAAATGTAGCATTGCATCACTTGCTCACTGCAAGTGAATGGGTGCCGTCAGAACTAGAGCTGATAAAAACATCACAATAATCCACAGCACTCCAGTCCATCAGTTAACATCTGGAGAAGACAAAAGCTGAAACAAATCCAGTATGAAGACGTTTTTAACTCGTATACGAGTCTATAATCCATAATAACGTGAGAAAGTGTTCTGGTCTGAATCAGGAGAGAAATCTGCACAGATCAAGCAGCCTTTAAACAGCTCTAAACAAATATGTGAGAGACAACAGCAGATGCACTTTATCACTTCTGGAAGCGTTATTATGGATTATGGACTCATATTTTAGACATTAAAAATGTCTTAATGCTGGATTTGTTTCAGCTTTTGTCTTCTCCAGATGTTAACTGATGGACTGGAGTGCTGTGATGTTTTTATCAGCTCTCGTTCTGACGGCACCCATTCACTGAAAATGGATTTTTCCGGTTGGCAAAATTTTGGTGCATTACTAGTTAATATTCCAGAAAATAAATGACACGTCTTTCTTTCTATCTTTCCTGAAATGCACACACTTTAAGTTGCACGACTGAAAGTGCGCTCTCTCGTGTCGCAGGAGTGATTGATGCATCGGTTTGTTTTCGTGCTTCACCTTCTGAACTGTCTGCATTTCAATGCATTTCTGAACTGCGCTCTTGCAGTGAGAAGAGGCCGGGTCTGCAGAGATGGTGCTCCACCTGCCAGACGCACTTCACCACCAATGTCATGGAGCATCGCAGAACCAAGGAGCACAAGGTGAAAGCTTATGACTAGTCTGGATGCATGAAAGCTCCTAACTTAACCTCAAGCTGATGGAAGTCTGTGTTTGTGCAGCGCTGCAGTCACTCATCCAGCTCGAGCTGCACCGTCTGTAAGCTGCACTTCAGGACCCCCAGAGAGTTCGTGGAGCACATGCAGTCTCCGGAGCACAAGCAGCGAGTCCAGCAGGTGAGCTTGTGTCATGCAATAATGTTCGTGCATGGCGTCTGCAACATGCGGTTTCCACAGAATCTAATTTTAACTCGTCCTTTAGTTTGTAAAAAGGAATAAAAATTGTGTTCGCAGAAATGCGCTTATGATCGCAGTCTATAGGACAGGCACTGTAAAAAATGAGTCAAAGATTATTAGAGTATTTTTACCAGAAAGTACTATTTCAGTATTCACATTTAATTCATTGCGTTACTTGCCATTTCTTTGTAATTACTTGTGGAATTTCGGAGTGAAAATTGTTTCAATGTAAATCCTACACCAATTCCATTTTAATTTTATTTAAAGTTTTAGAAGTCTTGTGTGATTTTTATGTTTTATTTTTTTGGTAATTTTTAGTAGTTCTGTATAGTTTTTATTGATTTTTATTTCAGTTTTAGTTATTTTAGTACATCAAGTTAAACTAAATTAAAATGAGAAATGTTGCCTTGGCAACTAGCTGAAATATTTTAATAATAATATTTATTTATTTATTATGATTATTATTATTATTTAATAATAATATTTTATTTCAGTTAACATTTATTTTATTTAAAGTTAAAAAAATTAAGTATTAATTTTAATTTCATTTTCAGCTTTAGTTAACTATAATAACTTGGGTGTAGAATAAATTTAAGAAAAGACATAAAAAATCTTTTACAATTTACAACATTTCTAATTTTCGTTTAGTTTAATTTGAAGTACTAAAATATCTCAAACTCAATTAATCAGATATATTTAAAAGAAATATTAGAAATAATAATAAGAAAGAAATATTTTAAAAACTAATAAAAAAAGACAAAAACACACAAGAAGATTACTAAAACATTAACTAAAATGAAAGTGAAAACAGAAAATAATATTTAAAAAAATGATAATGATTGACAGGCTGGTGTGAATGCTGTTGTTCTGTGTGTGTGTGTGTGTGTGTGTGTGTGTGTGTGTAAGCAGCTGTGGAAGGAGTCGGGTGAAGCTGGTGTGGATCAGCTCGACGCTGACATGTTTCTGGGTGAAGAGGACGGCGAATGCAGCGACGACGAGAGAGAAGAAGAGGAGAACGGGAAGGTGAGCGTGTTTTATGCATGTGTGGTGCTGAGCTCACCTGACTCTCAATTTCAATTCAATTCTCTCTCTGATTTTTTCCTGACCTTCTTTTCTCTGTAAATGAAGGGTGCACACTATTGCTGAAAAACACAATCACTACCTAGCAGTCAGATGTCCGTATGCACAAAGGCACAGATCCCTAAACAAGATCATATCTGCAGATTAAACTTTTTTTGTAGAAGCATTTTTTAAATTTGTACTAGCAGCACCTCATGACTACACCACGTTATGTTTGAGAAGCTGCAAAAGACACAAGCACAAGTGGAATGTACAAAACATGGTGACATTCATTTTTAAGTAAATATATTGGGCGATATATTGCGTCACCAAAAATTATTGAGGTCATGTACATATATTGTGCGATAAGTCGATATATTGATTATTGCGACAGGCCTATGTATATGTGTCTCTCTCCTGTAGGAGGGTGTGGCTGCGCAGATGGAGGTCACACTGGAGGATCTGAGCGAAGACGAGGAGTTCGACTCTGACACTGTGTACGGTGGGTAATCACCAGCGTAATCACAACACTTTTTTTACAGTACCAGTCTTTTATAGACCCTTGATCTCGAATAAGACGATGCACACAGCTGTATTTCATGTTGTTGCATTAAACGGGACATTAGGCCTTTATTAGAGGTACTAGCCTAAATTTTGAGCAAATAGATCTCTATTAATTCATGTGCACCCAAGCTCTCGTTTCTTCATAGTAAGATGGCAGTGATGCACAAAGGAAATGGGTTAGAGTATATAAATCTAGAAAATGTAATGCGTGAGCACGCAAAATATTCCCGTGCTCGTGTCAGTAGTTTCTCAGAGGCATGAAAACCGTTCTTGTGTGCGTGCAAAAGTGTGTGTATGCAAGAAAATCAATGAAAAACCCCCTGAGAAAATCCTAATATTTACAGATGACTGTACTTTAATACCTGAAAATAATGCTCTATGAACAGTGTATGTTAAATATGGTTTGAAATTTGAGTCTGGAAAATGTGCAGGAACCCTGTAATTTAAAACATAATAAAAATTAGTACGATGAGTTGTTTTTTAATGAGAATAAGTGTGTAGTTTAATTCATACATAATGACGAGGCAGCATTTTCACCCATGTTTATTTATTTATAGTTATTTGAAATATTAAAGTGGACACTTTAATGTGCTCTTATGTTTGTAATATGTGTCCCTGGAGCACAAAAGCAGTCTTAAGTCGCTGGGGTATATTTGTAGCAATAGCCAACAATACATTGTATGGGTCAAAATTATACATTTTTCTTTTATGCCAAAAATCATTAGGATATTAAGTAAAGATCATGTATGATATTTAGTAAATTTCCTACCGTAAATATATCAAAACTTAATTTTTGATTAGTAATATGCATAGCTAAGAACTTCATTTGGACAACTTTAAAGATGATTTTTTTTCAATATTTTGATTTTTTTGCACCCTCAGATTCCAGATTTTCCAAATATTGTCCGATCCTAACAAACCATACATCAATGGAAAGCTTATTTATTCAGCTTTCAAATTGACCCTTATGACTGGTTTTGTGCTCCAGGGTCACAAATCGCTTTTGCACATTTAATTCGATGGGACGCCTCGTCTTTGACTCTATATCTCAACATCATCTATTGAAAAACTAGTAATATTCTGGTATTCAGTAACTACAGGTGTTAACTATTATTGCACAATGGCTCAGCTTGAAAGAGCGAAACACTTTGTCTCCGTTTTATTCCAAACCCTAATGTTGATGAGATTTATCAAATAGTGCTTTAATTTTAAGATGAGGCATTAAATATGTAACGCTGTCTCTGGCAGGCTCGAGTTTCGTGGTGCCCGTCGCAGGCTTCATCTGTCGTCTCTGTGATCAGTTCTATCACTTTGAGTCTTCGGCTCGACACACACACTGCAAGACGCTCACACACTTCCAGAAGCTCAAGGTATGCTGAAGCTGTGCTCTGTGTTGATGCACACTTCTCCAACAAATATTGTATATGTATATTAATATATTATGCATTTATTAAATACTGCAGTTTATACATTTGTTTTCAATTCAGTTACATAATTTAGCTTATTTGGATTTATTAATATTTTGTGTACATCATCCTGTTTCAGTTTAATTCTAGGGTCAGATTATCATTGCTTTGTGCCAGATAAACATTTCTTGCATAAATTATATCATCTAATCAGATAATCTACTTATGGCTATTTATTAGCTGGATTTTAATTGAAGGTCAGCAGCAAAACAGAAAATCAGAACGTGTGTGT